ATGGGAACACAGTATTTCAAGGCAAGTCCAAGAAGTGGCACCCACATGATGCCACCCTCAAAGCCAGGAGAATCACAACCAGAGGGAGATCAATCCCGAGTAATTCCTGCCTGAGACAGTGACACTCTTCTCTGGACAACCACCACAGCACAGTTACATTCAAGCTTTTCCCTTCAGGTTCCCTGGCTTAGGGCAGGCCCATTTACATAGCAATGACCTTGGACCGATTAGAAAAACCTTGGCCCAGGAGCACTATAAATGTATTTAAGTCTATAAACATATACCCCAAGATAACCATAAAAATCACTTTCCAGTGTATGTTTTAAAATACTACCAAAGAGGGGTTAAAATAGAGGAGGGCTTGAGGCCACCGGTGTCCCACACATTACAACATAATATATGTGAGCACAAGGTTAAACAGCCATGCCCATGCGTAGGGTGCATGAAAAACTGGCAAGAGGAAGATTAATTGCCTGCACGAATGCTATTATTCCAACCAGCAGCAAGAATAAGGAAGAAAGTGGCAGTGATGTTGACAAAGGCAGTTATTATACTTGTACGTTTCTTTTCTCCCAATTCAGGCTGTAAAACAACTGGGGAGTGACTGCTCATCCCCTTCTCCACGAGGTGCTCGGGCTGTTTCTCCTCATACGCATCTGCTCTTTGTTTCCCAGCCAGGGGTAAGTGATAAACTTGATCCCCAGAAGTCCTGGGCATCCCCCAGCCACAGCACCACCACACAGGGACCTTCAGGTGAGGGCTAGAGGTTCCTCGCACTATTTTAAGGTCTCTCTGCACACCCAGAGTTGTGTAAAATGGCTTAAATGTACAAGAGAATCAGAAATGTGTTCCTAGGCAGCATTAGCTATTTAAATATACAGCAAAGAGCAAGCTGTTACACTGCTACAGACTCGTGCCTTCATTCCCAGCCAGGGGTAAGTGATAAACTTGATGTGCCAGATCCCCAGAAGTCCTGGGCATCCCCCAGCCACAGCACCACCACACAGGGACCTTCAGGTGAGGGCTAGAGGTTCCTCGCACTATTTTAAGGTCTCTCTGCACAGCCAGAGTTGTGTAAAATGGCTTAAATGTACAAGAGAATCAGAAATGTGTTCCTAGGCAGCATTAGCTATTTAAATATACAGCAAAGAGCAAGCTGTTACACTGCTACAGACTCGTGCCTTCAAAAGCACTGACAGCAAGTAAAGTGAGGAAACAGTGACAGAAAACTCCCCTCTGCTTCTGCCCCACTCACAAGGTGCTTGTGCTGTTCTTCACGGGGAGCAAGGACTGGGCACAGCCAAGGGACAACCAGAACTGCATCACCCCTCGCCCCCCCAGACTCTACACAACACCCCCAGGCTTCTGCCCCTCCAAATCTCTACATAAATACTTCTTTACTGGCCTTTTCCAGGTCCCTACCTGCCACCGTAGCCGCTGGTAGAACTTAAAGGCAATGTTCTGCCAGCTCTGTTTCTACAACCCTTTTTTTTTTTTATCTACAGCTCACTGACACTTTAAAATTTCTCCCACTACAATGCAGAGCACCTCATTGTTCAGATGTGTATTTATTTTGGGGTCATGCCTTTTAAGTGCCTGACCAGGGGAAAAAAAAAATGGCTCAGAGCACGATCACATCACTGTGAAGTGTATACTCGCATTTTCAATCTGGTAATTCACACTTGCAAACAATAAAATTACCTTCTTCTGTCACAAAGGAAAGCTGTTATCATTACTGCTTCCCTCTCATGCGTACAGGCCTGGTCTTTTCTTTTTAATTCACCCGCAGTTTAAAGCAGATGTTGAATCCTTCTTGTCTTGTCCAGCACGGCCGTGTGCTGCTGGAGAGGTATTATGGCCCGTGGCAAGTGCAGGGGCATTTTAAACTGGGATGTGAAGTGACCCCTAGAGAGCAGCTTTGATTTTCAAAATGACTGGTGGCAGCAGATATCTTCATTTTGGGCAAGCTGACCCAAAACACCCCTAGAGGTCTAATTCCAGACACTGGCCACTCCAATATTTTGAATATGTTTTACCTCTGGATGCAAACACAAATGGTGTAAACTAGGGAGGGAAGGAAGGAAGCTAAGCTAAATGATGCCCAGGTTTTTGGCATGCAAAGCAAGAATTCCCACCCAAATGTGGAAGGGCTGCTGCACAGAGAAAGGAAGAATCTGTTCTTAAAGCCCACGTGGAACAGGAAAATAAATAACAGGCCTAAATACAGCAGAGGGAAATTTAAGCTCAACATTAGGACTAGACAATGGCAAAGCACATCCCATGGGGAAGAAGCTGCAGAGAAACTGCTTAAGGCAGACAGTCATGCCTGCAATGGGCAAATGTAAGGCATGGTCTTTGTGTGACAGGTAACCAGCAGGTGCTTTGGCAAACAGTGAGGAAAGCTTAGGCTTCCATTTGTGTAGCTCTTGCCTGAAACTAAAGCTTTCCTATGGTTGTTAAAAAATGAAATAATACTACTATTAATAAACCAGTGTTTTTTACAGGCACTTCTCAGCAGCAGACCTCGGTTGCGCAGAAGGGGAATCAGTGATGGAAACACAGAGCGACCTCTTCAAGGTCATCCCTGAAGGCACCAGCAGAACTGGGAAGAGAACCCATCCATGCCCTGGGAAGCCTGGTCTGGGCAGACTGGGGTAGGGCTGCCCATGTGGTACAACCCTTGGGCACACTCGCTGGTGTGTGAACACACCAACCCACCATCACGCTCTAGACGGGGCTGCACCAACAGCAGGAGACCAGCAACTAAAATGCCATTAATGGGAAGTATGGTGGGCCTCCAAAGTGACTAATAAACTTAATGTAAGGACTAAGTTCCTGCAGCCAGACAACGAGCAACAGCAGCTGTTGCCACCAAAGAACCCATAAAAACATGTGAAGGATGTAATAACCTGCTCAAAGTGGAGAAAAGCCCTGGGAGACATTTTCAGCAAACCAAGTGTCACACGCTCTGTCCCTACCCCGATGATAACTACAGCAACACAGCACAAGGGAGATGGCACCCCACCAGCTGGGACAGCTTCCGAGGGTCAGCCAGGCCCCCCGCAGGTCGTGGTGGACTCAAGGTGCCTCTTGAGAAGTAAGGGGATGAGGGTTATGATGATGGGAGCCAAACGAAGGGCAGCTGAGGCCCAAGAAGACCGTTGTGCAGAACAACTCCCCTCTCCCAGCTGTTTTGATGCCCTTCACGTTTGCCTTGATCTGCTGGAGGATTCTGGTTTACAGAATGCATTTTCTATGCAACTTTTGGAACATGTGGAGTGCGGTGGACTGCAAAGGAGGAGGCAATGTCACCTCTGGGGACAGCAAACTCCTAGGTTATTAGGATCAGTCTCACTCCTTTTTTTCACCTTCCTCTCCCTCACACCAGCTGAGCTTGCCTTCATTCTGAGGCCAGAGCAGGAGTCTGTGCACCTGCCTTACCTGTAGGACAGTGCAATATGTATAATATGCAAAAAAAACACAGACACTCTCACCTAATTTGAAATTCTCAGAGCATAAGTAGTAACCAGTCAACTGGACATAATACTAAGACAGGGAAATGCTAGAGTCATGCGGATTATTAATGAAAACAGTTACAAACTGTTTTTTCCCAAACACACATACACCACCTGCTAATTACCCTCAGACAAAAAGATGAGGGGAAGGAGCAGCACATCCCAGAACCATTTCTACATGATGGTACGTGTGTGTCTGTCCTGCCCCACGTCTGATTTGGGACTATTCAAACCAGCAAAGACACCAACTCCACCCAGGTAAGGAGGTCCTTGGCAGCTGGGGAGCACAAACCGCTGCTGGCTCAAGCCCTGCATATCAGAAACAAAAATGCACTTGGTTTATTTGCCAAATAACCAAAAACGTCTAATCTCACAGTGCCCAAGCCACTTGTGTCCCTCTCTTCCCAGGATCCAGGTACGGGGGTGGCAGAACTGCCCACCCAACATGGCTGGAGGAATAGCTTTCACCCTACACATCCAACACGGTTATTTTCGTGGCGAGAGGATCTAGATAATATTCAGAAATCAGAGCAGTTTTCTCACTTAAAAAAAAAAAAAAAAGAGTAAAGAAACTCTGAGAGATGCACGATGAAACAGCACAGGTCTATTGTGGACACAAAACACCTTAGTGGCAGCTTAGTGGAGAGCTCTCTCATCCAGAAGCCTGTGCAATATCCCAAAAGGCAGCAGTCGGAGAACAGCAGGTATTTGGTTTCCATTTCGCAAACAGACAAATGACCTCTCTCTCACAAAGCACAAACATGTTCCACAACCCAGGGGGAAGATGTTTCTCAAGCCTTCTACATCCATTCACCGGAAAAATTATTCCACCTTCTTCCCACAAAAAACTCAGCATTTTGAGCTTTAGTTTAAAAATGTAATACTTAAAGAAATATGGGTACATATGTAGAAAAACTATCTAGTGGCTATGCACAAAACTTCATTTATATATTCTTACTAATTAGCATATTAAAACATTATAGGCTTCCAATAAAATACTTCATTCTTTAAACAGACATAAACACAAGAAATATTTAGGTCTTGAGTGAATCTTGGCCAAACTATTCCAGTTATTAACTGATGTAAGTAAACGCACACTAAACAGAATTTAAACCAGTTGACATTTCTGTTAAAAGACAAGTTCTTTGTAAGTTTTGATTATACCTGAAGACACCAGATAACGTCATTGTCTATTTCCAAAATAGTTCCATAAAACGCAAAGATTTCAAAATCAGAGGAGTTTTAAAGCAGGAATCAAAATGTAGGTAAGGAAATCTATGAAAATTTCTTGTTTGGTGTCACAGTAATTACAGAGTGAAGCTCAGGCAGACTGCCCGGAGAGATGTGACCAAGACACCCAGGCTATGATGCCAGTGACAAATGGTTAACTGATAAGAAGAAATGGAGGGGGCGACAGGCTGAAGAACAGGTCAATATCACGCTGTCATGAAGCCATTTGAGAAACGTAATTAATCTATTACTCACCTGGCATCATCATTCATTGTACAGTGGTCAATAGGTGCCATGAAGCTCACCAGCTTGCTATGGACGTGGTACCTGAGCAGCGCAGGAAATAAGCAGGCAGCACATTAGTAACTATTAATGAAAAGGAAATGTTGCTGCTTGAACAGAAACACCCCGGCCACTGAAATGCAAAGCACTGGCTTTCCTGATGGCTGGTATCTAATGAGTCACTAGTTGTAGCTGGCAATTCCCCCCCCTCTTCCCTCCTCCTCCTTTCTTAGAACATGGACAGAAGAGTAATCAGATGATACAATGAACTGAATAGCAAGCAAATCCTTTTTTTTATCACAGCTACAAAGAGGACATACAGCAGCCATTAATTGTGCGTGAGTAACTAATCAGACTCCCAGACAGACACCCCTGAAAAGTCAGAGACAGAGAAACAAGAACTCGTTTTCAGCCTTCTGTTCAGCTGGTGTCTTAATCACCTTCTGCAACTTGTGCCCAGAGAGCCCACTGCAGGCAGCAGAACCGTCAGACCTCCCCAAGCATCCATCTGCTACCACTTTTTCCTTGCTCTATGGTACCCAGGGCCCCAAAGGCTATCAAAATCCTATTCTGCTAGCCATACCCAGGGCTGGAAAGTCTCACCCTGAATAACTTACAAATGGAGCACCTAAAAACATGCAAAGGAGGAGGCAGGAAAAAGACCTGTGCAAAGAGGAGATGGAGCGTGTCCAAGGCGATGCAGAGCAGCATCTGGCTCAGCTTCTGAGCCACCAAAATATTTCTGGGAGCTGTTTCCCTCTTTCCATACTGGGCTAGGAACTCACAGCAGCTTTTCATGACTTACACTCAAGGACCTGACATACACAATTTAACTGATTAACGAAAAACTCCGAATGAAAAGGTGGCTTTAAAGCCTGGTGTCCAAGTGCAGGGGATTCCAAACCGCTGGTTTTGGTGTACACCACCACGCTGCCTACCCGAGTCTGAAATGTTTTATCCCAGCTGCTGCTATTTTTAGAGCTTGACAAATAGCAGGCAAAAGGATTCACAAGCATTTGCCCAGGATCACCTTTCCACTCTGTCACCTCTGCTCTCCCTTTTGTTTGCTTATGCGGGAACGTTCCCTGGAGGGGATTTTTAGCTCACAAGACTGTTTCAGAACAGGCTCTTCAGGCACAGCACACACACAAGGGCTGCTCTGCACCATCAAGGCTTTGTCACTCCTCATGGAAGCAACTGTCCTGGTCCAAGGCTGTGAGGATGGAGTCAGGGAGCAGAATGGCTGCACAGGGCTCGTCCTGCAGCAAACATGGGGTCAACACACTGGACTATGAAATGTCTCACTTCTGAGACACTAATAACTGATGGATTCACACACATCAAAGCTTATCCAGGGACAGTCTGCATCCCCTGCCAAGGGGACTGAGCAATTCTGATAAATTCTCTGACAAGAGTTGTTTGTCCAGAACTAATTACTAGCACATTTTTTTTTTAAATCAGGACTTCAAAAATCCCAGTCTGGCAGGATATAAAAATACTTAATTTCATTGACAGGCACCCCATGTTGCAGCAGTGCAGGACCAGAAATCACCAACGTGAAAAATAGATGGGCAAACATCTCCCTCAAGAAAAGGCATGTCCCAGCAAGGGACAGCAGAGTTTGAGGCACGAGGTATTTTAAACTCAACTGTGGAGTTTTTGGATGAGCTCACTTCCCTCCCAGTGCCCCAATTTCCCAGGCTATGAAGGGGACAGGCACTTATGTCACATAGAAGATCAACTGCTTGAGCTGAAGATCCTCAGACCCCATGATAAACTACCACATTTCACCCAAACATGCCGTAATATCGAAGGTTTGCTAACGGATTGCTAAAAAGGAAGAATTATGGAGACAGATGAAACTCAGTGTTTGATACTTTTGCTCTCCAGGATCTCAAAGTCCTTCAGGAAAACAAGTCTAAGCACTGCTGCCCCAACTTTAGAGAAGGAAAAAGAACAGAGGATAAGTGATAAGCTTGAGGTGACACTGAGTCCCTCAGGGGAAGAACCAACTATTCAAAAACACCCATTTGGGCTCTACTGGACTATTCTGAAAAGATGCTGGAGTTTAACTGCATGTTAATCCTAAACACAGACTTTTTTCTTTTATTGATATTTTCCCTACAGGGTCAGTGCAACTTTTATTTAAAGAAGGGGAAAAAAAAGGCACCTAAGATCTAAGAGGCAATTGAGTGGGCGAGATAGCTGATCTCTCAGGAATGCTGAAGCCACAGATTGCACACAATGAGAGACTTCCCCATTATTCCTGGAGGTTTACGAGTCTGACTCAGTTGTGTGATGTTGTCAGTAGTTTTGACTGAATCATGAATATATCCAATTATGTGTGATGCTGACAGAAAAGAATATTGATAGTCAATAATTATAGGCTTTTCAGGCCAACAAAGTAGCTCTTCCCTCTTTTAATAAATTATCTTATGACATCTATCTTAAAAATTGCTATGCCAGGCCTGACCCAGACTGACTCCACTGACTTTCTATCAGATGCCATCTAAACTCAGGATTTATAGTTTACTCACAAAAGGATGGTTAATGTTGCGGATTTTTCAGGAAGCGGTGCGGCTTTTCAGCGTGTCTCCCTGCCACAAACACCTCCTCCACTACAAATCATGCAGCCACGCTAAACTCAGGGAGACTAAGAGATCTGCTCTGCAAAGTGGGGGGAAAAAATCAACCCTATTCCTCTCCTATCTGCTCCCCTTTCCACCCTGCTGTGTGGGAGATTCTTCCTCTGGAAACACAACAGGAGAGATTAAGCCAAATTAGCGATCCAGGAGTCAGGATGTGAAATGCTCCAGAGCTAAAGAAAGCTGCAGTGGGACTTGGGAAAATAGAGATTAAACACCAAATTACGATGGACGACTCGTTAGTAGGAAATGGAGATCTACCTCACAGAGGCATTTCTGCACGTCTTCCCCTCGAGATGCTACCCACGTTTTAGTCAGCTAAATTTATATTGCACAAGAGGTGTCTACTGGCTTTCACTAGAAATTAGGGCCCCAAATTGCTCAGGGACACTCGAACACCTCTCTCCTGTGGTTCCTGAGACCAATGAACACTCTTGCCAAGACTGACCTGGGCAAAGCTCACAGGCTGCATCCAACCAAGCCCTTATTCCAGGCTCAAAGAACATTAAGACTCCCCAGTGGATGCCCCAGAGCAAGACACCCTGCCCTAAAAGGCTGGAATAACCCTACCAATGCACCCCAGAGCCAACCCAGCCCAGCCAGACTGAATTTGGCAAAACCAGAACTTCTTTGCATGCAAAAGCTGTCACCCACCGGATTCTCCTTCCTTTACTGGCTTTTCTGTCCACTTTCTTCTTTATTTTGCTTCGTAACTTCTGGATGGCCAGCCATTGCCTGAGGAATGCAAAACAACCGTTACACAACTTTTAGGGCCACTAGAAAAATGAGTTTTAGGTACCCTGGGGTCTGAGGCCCTTCCCAGCCCTTCTACCCATTGCATTGACCCACGTGAAGGAGATCAGAACCTCAGGAATCTTTAGAATTAAAAATAAAATCTTTACAAAATATAAACGCTAAAAAACTGTAAAGAACGTCTTTATATTTATATATAAATATATATATGTATGTGTCTTTATATATATATGTGTGTATATATATATGTCTTTATATTTATATATAAGCCCATAAGAGAACAGGTAGTCTGCCACATCCTAAACTGATTCTTCAAGTCAGACAGGTTAGGCCAACTTCTTGAAGAGGATGACCACGGTGTAGTAGATGCTCTGAATTTACTTCCTCCCTGTTTTGCAAACTATATTGAAAATTATAAGCAAGCATTTATCCCCACCATCTCTGACTTAAAGCTGGCAAATCTAGCGAAAAGTCCTATATAACACTCCAACTATTACTACACAAAACTACTAAAGAAAGAAAAGCAATAAACACTTTCAGGAAGTGCTGTCTGATCCCTGCCTGTGTTTAGAAGGAGAGCTCAACTCCTCCAACAGAACTTCAACAAGTCAAAGAAGTTTTCAGCAGAGGAAAACTTCTACCAGTTATAAATATTTTTTCTTTCACGAAAATGAGCGTCATCTTACCTGATTTATACAATGAAAACTCGGCATCAGGGAAAAAAATCTAGCAAAATCCAATTACTGCAATCTTAATATAATCTTAATTACTGTAATCTATTTTATTGTAAAGTCAGATAAATGTACAATGTAATCACCACTTAAATGTAATTTTGTCTATATCATCTTAAATTATAGTGAATAGCTTTCCATAATATTCCAGACATACACAAAATAAATTTGACACATTGCACTAAAATTTGGGTAATATTTTACAAGCATAAAAGTTTTTTCACCATCACAAAATTTCCTAATGCATTTTCTCCCCCTCCCGTACTCACACCCCCATTTTCAGCCTTCCTCTGCTTTTACACTTTCCTAAATTATAGCCCATGGCTATTTAAATGCACACTGTTCATTAAGTGGTATTTGGAAGATTCTTTATTTTCTAACCATGGAATTAAACAGAGAAATAAAAGCTTCCCTGCATGGAATTACACTTTACTTCTGCATGCAGAAAACTTTCCTTAGTATTGTTTTAATTGTATACTATCTTTTCTTGCAGCAGGGAGAGAGCACAGAGGAATTGCTGTAACCGATCTCATGACAGAAGGTTTGCTCCTCTCATACAATGAGAAATCAGAGCTCAGAATGAGAAAAGGCCAAATTTCAGCTGCAGACAAACACTTTCTCTAGTTTCCTCTCGCAAGGGTCAGTTAAAACACCCCTCTACAGATTCCCTTTGTGCTGCATGAACCACTAAGAAATATTGAGTCTGGAACAAGCCTTCTACAACCAGAAAGTATCTTCTAAGGAGTGTGTACATAACAGAGAATGGATTTCTTGACTAATGTAATATCATTTCAATAATTTGTTATACAATTTCTAACACCCAGATGCTTTTTCCAGGGTTATTCAAAATTTTGCCCTCTACAATGAGCTTTTTGCATTTCTGGAGTGAAGCTAGTGGTGTTACAGACAACTTCCCACTTACCTGCCCATCGCTACCTGGTCGTTGGGGTCCAATGAAGTGGTTTTACGTTCTATAAGTTCTCGAAGGAGCTAGAAGAAAGAAAACAATCCCATTAAAAAGACACGTTAATGCAAACAGGCTCATGGGTTTCTCAGAAGACTTAAGGAATTAGCTGCCAATTTCCCAAGGGAACTTGTGTGCCTCATTACTTGAAACTTCCAAGAAAGCCCCAAGCCAAGAACCAAGGCTTTTTAACATTTCCTCTGTGCAAAAGAGTTTTCCAAGGGATAAACTCCAAGGCTTCAAGTGGGGGAGGCAGGGGGGCACTGAAGCCCTTCACCAGAGAAGCCGAGTGTTGCTGGGCAGTAACGCTCACTCTCAGGAACAGCACAGCAAAATAACTTTTATAGCTAGAGCAGGAATGCTCAGGCAGCTCAGGCTTTTTTACTTCTTTTCATGTCCTGAGGGTTGGGTTTTGTCCTTTTTGTTTCCTGCAGCCAAAGAATATTGTGAACAGCCTTTTTTGGATACTCGACCGGTGCTGTATGTTTATCACCACTCACTGTAAACTGTACGTGCTGTGCCTTGGGTATTAGCCAACATATGAACACAAAGAACAGAAACAAACCCTACAAAACTGAGGGGCACGTGCTGCTTTCTAGATGCTGACATTTTACTGACTAGTGAAGTTACTGCCACAGCTCAGAAGGGACCTGAAACAGAGCCACCTGGAAACCCGGGAGTCCAGGCCATTCCACAGAGATGCTGGAGATAAAAGGATGAAAGATGCTTTTCCTCCACCCTACCCCTTGGCTGAAGTGGGAGAACTGGACTGCAATGGTCCCTCAAGGTACAGTAAGAAAGCAGGGCTTGGGGAGCAGCCACGGCCCTGGGTGTCATCTTCACCCGGTCCAAGACAGCACGCAGAGACAGGTAAGAGGACAAGAAAGAGGCTCCACATCCTCCCAGAACAGCTCAAGCAAGAGGACATCATTTCTGAGCACAACTCAGCTCTGGAAACCACTGTGCCCAGCACAGCCTGCCCTCGGACACCTGCCCTGGCACCATCACTGCCCCGGGCACCATGCTATGGGAGAAATATGCTGACCTCCCCAGTTTCTGATCCCTTAAGGATACTACTGAAGTAAGGGAGGGAAAAGGCGTGCACCCCAAAAAGAAAAATGGCATAAAGGTAGATGGCTATCATTTTATCACCCTTTTTATTTTCAAATAAGAGACACTCAAGTAACAGAGATAATATTTATACCTGTCCACATCTTTCCTCTCCTTCAAGGCATACATCACATCGCACATAACAGAGTGATTCAAGCATAATTAAAAACCTGCCAGGACTTTTTTTTTTCCTATTTGCTTATTTTTGGAGATTATTGCTGCAGCAATTACTGTTAAAAATTCCAAGAAATGAGGCCACTGGTTTATTATCACTGGCAAACAGCAAGCTACTTCTCTGCCCCCTTTATCTGATTGATTCCCAACATCTTTCTGGCACACAATCTATCAGTTTATCTCTCCCACTTCATCACAGTCACTTCTGGCAGCTAAATACAAGATCCAAATCCAGTGTTACACAGACATACGACACAGTAAACCTATGAAACACCGCCACTCTGTAAACAGCTGCCCTTAAGGCTAAGCAGAAATGGGATCTTGGTTCCTAGTCAATATTCTGTCAAAAGCAAGGTGGGAGGGAGGGTTTTAACAGCAGCAAGAAACGGTGCAGCAAGGTTTTAGTGGTTTCTTCCTGTACCAGCAATAAGGTGTGTTTACTGTCTCCTCTTATTGTGCTTCCTCGGCACGACGCGCGGAAAAAACTGCTGAGTGGTAACGGCAGAGGCTGAGGGACCAGAAGACAGTGATGCAGAGATGTCCTTAAGAGAACTAAGGAGAAAGACATTTTCAGCAGGACTTTCTCTTCCTGATGGCCCACCAAACCTACACACCAAGGTCTTACACCGATGTCACAGAATCATCATGGTTGGAAAGGACCTCTGAGATCACCAAGTCCAACCACACACACAAAAAAACCTCCTACAGGATCACCGAGTCCAACCACACACACAAAAAATCCTCCTACAGTCTTGGCCACCAGAGCGTGCCCTGAAGTGCCACATCCATACCTTTCTTAAATACCTCCAGGGGTGGTGACTCAACCACCTCCCTGGGCAGGCTGTTCCAGTGCCTGACTGCTGCCTCGCCAACCAAGTGTCCAGGAGACGTATTTTTGGGGGCTGGTTCCTAAAACTGTACTGGGAAGCAGGCGGGATCTTTGGACAGGATCCCTCTCCTTTTGGCAAAGGCAGCTGTGATGGCTGTGAAGGGCAAGGAGTAGTCCAACTCCCCATCACTTAGCAGGGATCCCAATATTTTTTGGGGGGGGGCACATCCTCTTAGTGCACAGAGGATCCTCTCACCAGAAGGAGCCAGGAAAAGCTTTGTGCAGCCACAGGAGATGGAACCCTGCCCACAGTCGTCCCCTCGGGCCACCAGCCGACGGGGCCATTGGTTGAGGAGAGCCAGTTTTGTTGACCTTGACAGTGAAATGTTCCTTCAATGCAGCATCAACTGCAGGACTGGGGACACTCCTGGGGAGAGGAGAGGGAGGCAGAGACAGGGGAGAAGTAAAAAAAGAGCAGGGACAAGAGGGAAATTAGGAAATAAGAAATAAAAGCTGCGAAGCATCTTATTACATCTAAATAGTGTACGTCTTGAAGCGAAAGTTATAAATCATGCTAACAATGGTTACTAAAATAAAAGTGGATGTAGCCAGAGGCTACCACTGAAAAAGTCAGTCTAGACCTGCCTCGCTGCCTTTGGTCTTTAAGGATTTGATTAGTTTTTCCGCTTTCTAGTTCAGAGTCTTGCATTCAGCCCATGCTCCAGAGCCAGCCAGGGCTCAGGATACAGAATGAATGATAAATTCATTTACTGAATAAAGCAACACTGTTTTCACAGCGCAAGACTTAAAACACTTCCGAAGCTGTAATATTTCATTAAGCTTGGCGATTCTGGTTAAAATTTATTAGTCAAAACAGAAAACTCTCATCAGACCCCATATATTCCATTAAGAGTGATATATGGTGTCTCCCAATGTCTAATTATTAACTAGGAAGTGTAAGTAAATCACTATCAGCATTAAGCCCTGATGTGTGAAGACAGAGTTTGAGTCAGGCAATTTTAGCATCAAAAGGCTTTGATTTGAAACATATCCTTTTTTTGCTTTCCCTCCTTCACCTCTTCACATCTTCCCTGAACTTCAAAAAAACCCCAGCTCAGTCTCCCACAGAAGCAAAAACACAACCTGCGACCAAGTGCAACCACCTCCAGCAGCATGAAGCTCCACCACCAACTCTAGGCTGCTCCTACCAAAAGCTGGAAGCAGGAGGACAAACTATCTGCAAAGTGGACAACGGGCAATACTGAGCAGGAGAAAGTTGCGAACATCATAGAATCACAGAATTGTCCAATTCAGGTCATTGAGTCCAACCATCAACCTAACACTGACAAAAACCATCACTAAACCACGTCCCTCAGCACACCTGCCTGGCTTTTCAATGCCTCCAGGGATGGTGACTCCACCACTTCCCTGGCCAACCTCTTCCAATGCTTAAAAACCCTTTCAGTGTAAAAATTTTTCCTAATATCCAGTTTTATTTGTCTTTGGGACACGAGTGCTGCTCTGTGTGTGCATTTCTGAACTCAACAAAGCTTCGCTTTTAAACCCAACTCCCTACTCAAACCCAGGGATTACCCACCACCCTGGTAAAGAAAAGCAGGCAGAGGTCGTGCGGTTTGCCAAGCCCAAAAGCCATGTTCATGAAGAGCCAGGAGCAGAGAGGAACCAAACCTCCCGTGTCCTGAGCACACCAGAGAGCTTAAAATCTCCAACCCCTAACAAAGAGGGAGGCAGGATTCCCACAGAACACCTCTGAAGGCAAGAGCTTTGGAAGTGCTTGGTGTTCACCCACCTCTGCCAACACAAAAGCCACTGTTAAAATTTACACTGGAGTCGATGATGTGTGTTTTCCAAAGGATTCACCTTAAAAGGACTCCGTCTCCACGCTAGTTAAAAGAGATGCACACAAAGTACATCGTAGAAAATTAAAGGGATTTAGAAATGCCATCAGGGTGTTGTTCAAGGGCAACAGAGATTCATTTCTCATTTTAGAGGTCAATTTTCATTTTCGAGGTTAGGTCTCATTTTCATGCACTATCTATCAGTGTTTCTAATACTCCAGTTGCTGACCTTTCTGATTTGCAGACCCCTAAGAATTTCCAGTTGAGACAAAGAGCTAAGTACAGCTGAGATCAGCCTCGTGACACGAGGCTCACTTCTCTTAGCCCTCACGGACCAGAAATACAACTGAAACAAAAGAAACACTTTTTCCCCCAACGTTATTAACATCTTCAGAAAAGCCAGGAAGGGCCCAGGTCACTTCTCCTACGGTGCATCAAAGCCACCTACTCTGTCCTGGAGGTGGCACTTTGAATTTGGGAGTCAGGGATGGGAAGAGGTGAGGGAGGCTCAGCCCTGCTGCTCTGCGAGGAAATCAGAACAGTCCCTTTGGGCTCCCAGCCCCAACAAGGGGCTGACCATGTTCTTTTTAAAACAACTGCACAAAACAATAGAAAAGCAGCACCTCGTACTGCTTCTGCCCTCGTAGTCATTTGCTGAAAGCAAGAGAGAGATTTGCTGATCCATCCCTTCTGAAACAGAAGAATGTGAGAAATCCAGATTTACCAGCAGCTGCTTGCCCCTACTACAACACTCCATCACTCCTTGGCTAAAAAAAAAATACTCTGTTTATTAGTGAGGAACTCTAAAATATTTGCAAATCGCTTATGTGGACTTTTCTGCTAAATGTGTATTAGTTACTGGAGACAGTAAACAAACAACTATTGTGGTGGGAAGATCTCCTAATGGCCCTCCACTGTCTTTTAACTCGGAATCCTTTCAAAAGCTCAGGCAAATTCCCTTCATCCTGCCTCAGAGCCCAATGTGACATGGCAACCTCAACGTGTTAGTGTTAAGTTACCTTTTACCAGTTTACAAAGCAGTTATTTTTTCACA